AGCTCTGGAAGAAGAAGAAGAAGAAGAAGTCCTTTAATTATAAAAAATAATCTGATTAAATATGGGGGTATTAAAGGGGGTTGAAATTAAAAAAAAATCAAAAATTAAAAGCGATATCAACATGAAATTTTTAGTCAAAATCAAGCCCTATAAGGAGATGAGGCCTATTGATTGTGAAAACAATCTGGTTGAAAATGGGGGTCAAGGGGATTAAGAGTATCATTTAGAATGCCAGGCATTATATATCTTTATTCTAGTTTGTATCTGTGTAATATTATGTATTGTGATGGGACTGATCTTATAAAATAAACATTTAAAACATTTTAGTTCTTATTTTATTTGCCAATAAAAGGTATTTAAAAAATATATTTTTTATTTGACATCTGTGACAAATTGTAAAAATGATTAAACTTACAATAAAAACTGAAAAATGGTAGGTAAAGTTTCATATATTTTTTACACAAAAATCAATTCTACATTACCCTATATATATTTAAAAATAATCTCAAATTATGAAGAAAAGTCAGTTTACTAACTAATAATGTTTATAGATGGTTTTCAATGTATTAAAAACAAAACAAATATTACACTAACTAAAATATTTAGTTGTAGTGCTTGAAAACAGTTTGATGTTAATAATAATAACTACACTTAATACAAACTCAAATAATATTAAAAAAACAGCGATATTTGGCTCTTGTACAAAGTTTTGAGCCGAACTTACAAATGATAAAATTATTGGAAAAAGTGAACACCCATTTTAAATTACCACGAGCCGCTAAATAGAGATTGGGTGGCATTTCATATGTCGTCATCTTCTTATTAGATAAGAAACCGTTCTTCAGGAAGCATTTCATATGCGTCGTAATAAAAATTTACTGATAATATAATTTTAACATTTTGTAGTTGTCGATGTGTATTTTAAATAAATAATTCACTAACAATAATAAAAATATCAATTTATTGTTTTTTACTGGTATAGGAAGGTGGAAAAATTAATAAGTGTATTATATTTTTTAAAAGTAATTAGGTACAATTAGTATGTGTATCAGCAGTAAACCTAAATCCCCTTAATTACATTTGGGCAGTACTCATATACCTACAGTATGTAGAACTTCATTATGATCCCTAATAAGCCAGACGACAGTAACTTCCTTATATGTGTCATTTTAAAACTGAACGTCCACAAAAGTCAGATTAGACAATTCAATTAGAACCAAAATATAATACCTAACCACTGAAACAAGCTAAGCATTGCGAGAAGAATACGCAAATATTTTCTTCCGATTATAATATTCGGCAACTTTGTTATAATGTGTAGTTATTCTATTTGCCGGTTTTGAGCGGGAATAATAGTCAATAATAGTTTTTTAATACTAATTTTCATCTAAATGCCAAATTAAATCGACAAATAAATATTTTTTTTAAAGTAAAATAAAGACATTAATTATTGTTTCTACATAAATAGTATTACAAATTCCGATACATTGTTATAGTCCATCCCTTACGTAAAACAAGTAGGACATAATGTTTCTTTACATAAATAATTGTCTTACACAATTATCTCCAAAAACCAACAAAAACTACCAAAAACAAAAAACACTTACAGAAGCTCAAACCGTAAAATCACAAAACAAACGAAAATTTCACGGAACGCTAAAGAGTTTACGGTCCGGAATAACGCGATGTATCGCACCGGTGGCAACGGATTATGACCAAAAACTATACCAACGACAACGACAACTTCGGTATTCCTTATCAGTATTACCGGCGGACGATGGCATGTCTTCGGCGGCCGCAGTACCCAACGGTACTTTCCCTAAACCCTACTACTCGAATTGGCCTCGGCGTGCCCCCCAGAAGAGTACCACGCCCGCCGCTGCTACTGCGGGCGGAATGCGTGCAGTTCGTGATCTTGACACTACCCAAAAAACTGACGAACTGAACTATTAATCCGGTTGCATACTGTAATTATGTGTCCTTCGATGGTTTCAAATCAAAAACTAATTCCTAAATCATTACCTTAGTTCAAGACTGTAACATGTCTAAAAATCTAATTGTTAGGAAATAGAGAACTAAAAAAGTTGTGTCAATCATTTTTGAATTATACTTTTGCCTGTTACATAAATGTAAAAAAATGGAAACATAATTTTCAAATGTATGCATAATTAAAGCCGATTTGGGCATAGCTTAAGGGTTATGTTTCTCGACATAATAGGACATTTAAGTTAGCCGATGTTCAGATCAGTATAGTTGGGCCCCACCCTATATACCACTAATTCTTTTTTGTACCACCTTCCTTAAGAAACTGCAGCTATCTATTTGTGGAGAGGGGAGGCGAATGAACACTTCCCCCCTCCTCAGTAAAAATTTTAAAATTTACTATAATGCACCAGATAGCTCTTGTAATACACTCATATGCACCACCAATAAAACTTTTTACATCGCCTCCATTTAGTAGTTATAGCTGTTTCCTTATCGTGACTTTAGCGCCCCTACAATAAAATGTTCGCAAAAAAAAACTAATTTACCGGTATGTACTTCTGATGAACTTATATGCACCACGAATAGAACTTTTTGCACCCCTTCCTTTTAGTAATTACAACAATTTCTTTACCGTGAAGTTGGCACCCCTAATAAAGTTTTCACAAAAAAACTATTACTCCGTTATGCACTCCTGATGCTCTTATATGTACCACCAATAATACTTTTTGCATCCTCTGCCTTTATTAGTAATAACTGTTTCTTTACCAGAAAAATTTTCCGACCCCAAAATGCATTCGGGTCATTTAATAAAATATGTATTTCGGACTAATGGCGACGTACGTTTTCATACATTCCATGGGCTCGTGTGGAAAAATCGGGCAAAATCTCAATTTTCTTTAGAAGATTACACCCTTATTTCAACCCTTTAGCCACTTTCAACATTAAAGCCTTAGGTTTTCCGAAGCCTAATTCTAATAATTAATGGCAACAAATAACCTTTCGTTTTTGTTAGGGAAAATCTAATTTTCCATGTTTTATCTCCAGCAGTCACTCGTAAATTTCCTTTTATTCTACTTAAAATCGATGTACTTTTCAACCCTCTTTGAGGCTTGTATGCGATAATGGGGCACCTAAATCTGTTACTATCTGACAGACTATAAACTTATACCTATAGAACTATGTATAAAACAAGAAAATCCCAACGGTTTTTCGTAACCAGATGTTTTTTATGAAACAAGTATCCCCTTTTTCACTTCAGTTTTTAGTTAACAAGAAACCGTGGTCTCTTGATAATCTATACTCTGAGTGAAATCTGTTCAAAATGTATTTTTACTACTCCTAAGAAGAAAAAATTTAATCCATAGTTGGAGAGTTGAAACTTGAAACAAAGCAAAAAGACACGTTCAAAAATTTAAAATTTGTTGGACTGTTTATAAGTGCGTACGGGTGTTTTACAAATTACTTTAATTTTTAAACTTTTGTTAGATGTTTTGATAAGCTCTCCATGCTTTTTTAAAATGCAAATCCTGTGTGATTTTTTAATTTTTCTCTTGAGAACGGAAAAATCTCGATCACACATTAAAAATGAATGTATGGGATATTGTTCAACCTTTTGAAATCTATTCGTTAAAATTAATACAGAAAACAGTATACTGTATGATTTCTATTCTGAGCAGCATATGCATCAGAACAGAAGTGAAAATGTGCAACATTTTGGAATTCTGGATGGCTGTCAATTAGGCTCTTTAGTTTCTGTTCCCTCATGATACACGTAGAATGATACCTTATCATCTTTCAGATTATGAATACATACAAATTAATGCAAATACCACCTACTGTATCATCTACTTTGCAAAGTTGTGAAATAGATTTAAGTTTGTTGTAATTTTTTTTTCTCTGCCAATTCTACTCTTTTTGCCGTTTCATTCAAGACTTTGCTTTATAATGAAAATTGTTCTTTAAAATCTTTTTGTAATACAAATATTTAATATCCAGTTCTGCATATTATTATAGCTCTTTAAACAACTTATGCAATATGAAAATATTCAATTTTTCATTTAGATACCTGTACTCTCTACTGATACAATAAGCAGTTATGACTGGAAATGAAGCAATATTTTGTTTGATTAAATCTATAAGAAGTCCTTGCCTTACGTTTACTGATCGACTCTTGCCTCGTTTATGTATAGGACTCATTCCTCTCTTCTGAAGGTGGTTAAGCGGCACAACCGATAATTTGTAAAACTAAAAATGGTCATAAATGCTTTCCTTCAGATTTCATGCGTTTCACTTGGTCACAGAATATTATAATTGATTGATTGATCTATCTGGTTTGCAGAAAATATCAGCAGGTTTACGCGTCTTTTACGTGCAGGAGAAATTATAGCTAGGGTTGCCACCTGTCCATTTTTCAAACAAATTGTCCTTGTGACTTTTTAAAGCATAAAATGTCCTTTTTACGGCACATGTCCTTTTTACTACGCATGTCCTTTTTACAGCACATGTCCTTTTGTACGGCACATGTCCTTTAAAGGTACCTGTTGTTTTTAGAAGCTCGACAGAAGGACCATTGGTAAAATAACTGATGGGGACTTTTTTTAGAAGCTCGGTAGAAAGACCAGGGGTTTATTATTACAAAAATATTTTAACCGAATCCATGTCGTCACCGTTGCCCTTTATTCACTTTTTAAAAAGGTGACAATCCTAATTGTAGCAAACAATCTTGTTCATTTTTGGTGGTACGATTTCTAAAGTTTTGAAATGTTTGAATGCGTAATTCTTCAGAAACTGGTACAACATTTTTTTGTCATTTAAAAATACCAACAAAATTATAAAAACGAAGGAATACATATTATTTAGCTAGTTAGTAATATTATAAGGCGTTTAAACTTACTTGCAGTGAGGTCCTTGGCTAATTGCAGGCACCAAAGCGCTACTCCAGCGTTTACAGGCAATCACGTAACTCTAGACTTTTTAATAACTTCTCTGTTATATTCAATGATATTGCGTATTCCATGTTTCCTCTTGAATGTAGCAGACAATTTTTTGGGTCTGATAAATTGGTGGCAAAATCATTATCTGAAACTAGATGGTCTGCTCGCGCATCTGCAGTCACAGCTTTGCAAGACTGTCATAAGGAATTCTTGGCTGCGATATCATCAATTGCTGAAGATGATGATCAATCGAAAGAAACTAGAAGTGAAGCAGTTGTCATTTTCAAAAAAATGCAGAAGTTGGAAATAATTATTCTTACGGAGATATGGAATAATGGATTAATAACAGTAAATAGTTTACAAAGTAGATTTCTTACGATGGAACTAGCAGTGAAGTTATTGAAATCACTAATTAATTTTTTGAATAATGAAAGAAATTATTTCGAAAAGTACTATAGCATTGCTAAAGATAAATTTTCAGATAGTGACTTTAAACAGAATACACAACGTATAACTGAACGAAGTTCGGGAATCAAATTTATTGATGGACCAGCAGAAGAAGCCCAATTTAGTGGCAAAGAGAAATTTAAAATTTAAGTTTTTTTATCATTTATGAATTCGTTAATAGCTGAACTGAACCGGCGATTTGCTGCGTATGACAGCATTTTCAATTGGTTTGGTTTCCTAACAATTTTAAAAACAATCAGTCAAGTCGTTTTGCACCTTAGGTGTTTAAGATTTGTAGACAATTACAGTCTTGATGTAAGTGGGAACGAATTAGAGTTGGAATGCATTCATTTTGCACAATATTTAAATTCAGACGAAATATATAAAACCCAGGAAGGAAATCAGTTTATTGGACCTATACAATAATTTAATAACTAACAAATTAGAGGATACATTTCCTAATGTTGCCATTTCACTGAGAATATTTTTATCAATAATAATAGCTAACTGCACTGGAGAAAGTTCATTTTCTAAATTAGCCAGAATCAAAACCGAACTGAGGAGTACCATGCTGCAAAAGAGACTAAACAGTCTATCGTTAATGTGTATAGAAAATGAGATATTACTAGGTATTACTATATATAATAGACGATTTTGCACACCTAAGATCAAGAAAAGAATCATTTACAGTTATTAAACTTAATGTTTTAGGATGAGATTTCATCTTTGTATTTTAGTTAAAGAGATTAAGTTTTGTTTTAAAATAAATGTTTCGACGATATGTAAAATAAATATTAGGGTGGCTCAAAAAAAGCGAATATTTATTTTATTTGAGTCTCCTATGAAAATATGTTAGTTTATAATGTTTTAAGAGAAAATTTTTAAAGGGTCGCTCGGAATTTTTAAAAAATTACAAAATCGTCGAAAACCGATTTTTTTTTTGTTTTAATTTTTTTTTCTCATTATTTCATTTTTTCTGTAAGAAAAATCATAAAGATCCTAAAAATTTCAAGTCGAAATTTTAATACTGAAAGGTCGCTCCGAATTTTTCTAAAGTTTCAAGTCGAGTACTTTATATCTTTTCGAGCTACTTGTACATGAATATTAACGAACTTTATATTTTTTTGTTTTCATTAAACTTTTTTTTCGTTTCTCGTGCTTCAATTTCATTCTTTAATATGTAAAATTTAATAATAATTTAATAATAAAGAAAATCTACCCAATATCACTGTAAATAGCTAAAAAATATACCACAAACTGAATTGAAAAATTATATTTTTTTCTCGTTGAAAATCATTTAAAATGTGCAATCTTATCAAAAAGGTTGTCATAAAAGTACATACACCTGAAACATGAAACTATACAACAATAATTTTATCCGTCAGACAATCCATATGAACAATGAATCAAAAGTATTTGATATAAGATATTTTATAAATGTTTATTACTATTGTTGATGTAATATTTAAATAAAATTCAAAAGTAAACCTAATTCAAGTTATTCCATACATTCCCTTTCATTTTTATTAAATATGATATTTATTGTATTGTGTTGTGGATATGAAACTTAACACATTGCAAAAGTAAAACAATAAGCAAATATCAAATTAACAATATCTGAATTAGAGCGTATTAAATAAAATAATATATGCTGATATGGAAATGTTAAACTGACTGTAAATTTCAATCAAATAATCTAATAAAACTCTCTCTCTCTCTTTCTGTGGGTGGTGGTTCAGTTTATATTAAGAATAGCAAACAATGTTATCTTATTGTCTATATATGTATACAGGGTGACCATTTTTTAATTGAAATGTATTAATTGCTATCTAGTAAACCGTTGGTAACACAATGGGAAAAAAGTTATACAGGGTGGACCACCAGGAACTGTATAGATCGATATCTCAAAAATTGGGTGTAGGAAAAATTTGCTAGATGTCTTGAGGCCTCTTAAGCTAAACTATTTTCATTTTGAATAACTAATCATACAAGGTGTTCAAAAATAGATTTAATTTTTTTTGTATAGGTACATATAATCTGCCCAGACTCTTGATGTAATATTATGTATTGAATTATAAAAATAGCTGTCTCTAAGGGGTTATCCATAAATTATGTCACACGTTAAGAGGAGGAGGGGGTCGACGAAGTGTGACATTGTGTGACAAGGAGTGGGAGGGATCTTACATTTCGTGACGTCACATTTGTAAAAACTTTGTAAAAATAATACCGACTTAGCATCAGCTCTAAAACTTCACGATACTATTGGTCGGCGTAGAGTAGAAGAAAACCAATCCGGTATACTGGAAGTCATAAACTATAAGGTGCTGCAAAACATTGGACGATTTACAAGCCGAAATTTGTAAACAGGGATATAGTATCAGTCGATCAGGGTTATACTTCAGACTTCTTCCCAGACAAGTCAATACAGAGGAAGTTACTGTTTCTGTTAAACTGTGCAAACCAGATTTCACGCTACATTTGAAATATAAAGATGTCACATTCTGTATTGCTACGATAAGAAACCTTAAATCTTTAGCTTCAATTTTGGGCCCTGATCAAATTTTCTTCTTATCAATGGATGACAAAGCACGCGTGCCTTTAGTTATTATAGCAGCAACTGCTCAATCACCAATATTAATGCACCTTGATTATCGTCTAAAATTACCGGATCATGAATTCGTGGTCGCGGAAAAACATAAACTTATTCCTTCTGTTTATGCAGGTATTGTAATAAAGAAAGATGGTGAAGGGAAACCTGAAGCTGTGACACACGCTGGGCCTACATACGTAGCAATTCGTAGTGGAAAGCATTTTTCCTCTAATGCAGAGACTCATGCCACAGACATAGTCTTTCTAAAACACTTGCTTTCAAAAACTTTATTAGAACTCGAGAAGGTTTTGTAAAACCCATATTTATTTTTACTTGCGATGGTGATCCCGACGAAAATGCACGATACGAGTGAGTTATAGTTTCAGCTATACAACATTTTAAAAATTTTGACTTGGATACTATTTACAATGCCACAAATACTCCAGAAAGAAATGCTTTCAACAGAGTGGAATGACGAGTGGCGCCTGTTAGTCGCGAACTTACTGGTGTTCTATTAAAACATGACAATTTTGGTTTACATCTCGATTCCAGTAATCGAACTAATGATTTGCAGTTAGAAAAACGAAACTTTGAGAGTGCAGGCATTGTGCTGTCTAATATTTGGAGCTGATGATTTTCCAGTGGTTGTCAAATACATTGTGCCAACAGATACTAGATTGGATATTGAATAGGCTAAGGTATTAAAAAATAATGCGACTTGGTACGCAAATCATGTGCGTGAAACACAATATTCATTATAGTAGTAAAATGCGAGGTTGTCCGTTATTGTGGTGTGCGACGATCTAGCCTTTGGCGACTATTACGAGAGGGGTTTTTACCACCACCTGTTTTAGTTAAACAGACATCAAACGGGTATGTAACCATAGAATAAGATGACTCCGAATTTGCTCCACTGTTACTTCAGCTATCTTTGGATCTACGAGCATCATCATATTTGAAGCTATTGTCCCAGTGTTGAGGCATACTTGTTTAAGCGATTGTGTGGCATCTATGGTCTATATTTTGCATCATACAAGGCCACCAACCAACACAAGCAATCACATAAGAAGTTTTGCCCATCGAAATTCTTTGTTTGGATAACGATGATGCCATTTGGTTGGATGAAAAAGATGTTGACACAACGAATGTTCCTGGCAATAACAACCCAAACGAGATCGAAATGACTGCTATGCAAGTTATAAATAATTTAAAGGAGTGGGTTCAAAGTCCATGGACTCAAGATAAATAAATTTGAATATTTCAATGATATAAATAATCGATTTTTGTTTTGTTAATTTTTTCAAATGTTTCATTTGATATTGATTTTATTAAAAATAGTTTAAATGGAAGTAAAACTAATTTCAGAACTTCTGTTTTATTTTAATGTCTAGATGTAAAATTACAAAATATGTGACGTCACACTAGGGAAGGGGAGTCTCACAAATGTGACCAGCTGTGACTAGGACGGGGGAGGGGTCAAAAAATCATAAAATTCGTGTGTCGTAATTTATGGAAGGCCCCTAAGGTTAAAAGAAGGATTTGTGTAATAATTAAAAAGTAATCATAATAATTGAAAGTATAGGTCCTGTATTTAAAATAAGTGACTCAAGATTTATTTCGGTATAACCCGAAGTGCCCAATAGATGAATATAAGGTAACGAAGCCCATTAATTTTGAAAAAAAATCTTAATAACAATGGGGGGTTAAGGGAGGTTGAAATATTTAAAAAAATCCTATTTCAATAACGAAAAATGGATCTTGACTTGAAATTTTTTGCAAAAATCAAGCTCTATAAGAGGAAAAAGCCTTTTGATTTTGAGAAAAATCTGATTAAAATTAAGGGGGTTAATAGAGGTTAAAATGAAAAAAATCGATATCAACATGAAATTTTTAGTAAAAATTAAGCTCTATAAGAGGATAAAGCCTATTGATTTTGAAAAAATCTAAATTAAAATAAGGGGTTAAGGAGAGTTGAAATATTGAAAAAAATCCTAACTCAGAAACAAAAAACGATATCAAATTGAAATCTTCAGAAAAATCAAGCTTTATAAGGGAATGAAACCAATTGATTCCGAAAAATATCTGAATAAAAATGAGGGCTTAAGGGGAGTTTAAATAAACAAAAAAAAATCCTAACTCAAAAACAAAAAAAATTATATCTACTTGAAACTTTTAGCAAAAATAAATCTCTATAAGAAAAAGAAGCCCTTTTATTTTAAAAAAATCTGAATAAAAATGTGGTGGTTAAGAGGGGTTGAAATAAAAAAAAAATAAAATCGAAAACGAAAAGCAATATCAACATGAAATTTTTAGTAAAAATCAAGCTCTACAAGGGAATGAAGAATATTGATTTTGAAAAAATCTGTACCAAAATTGGATAATAAGGGGGAGTTGAAATATTGAAAACAATCCTAACTTACAAATAAAAAAAAAATATCAAATTGAAATCTTCAGGAAAAGGGGTGAAGCGTATTCATTCTACAAAAAAATTTGATTGATGATGGAGGCCTGTTAAACTGTAAAGAGTATAATATATCTTATATATCTCCATTCCAGTTTCTTACTTATTTTTCAAATATATCTAAATATCAAGTAGTCTGGGAGTTTAGTTGTTAAATTAACAAAACGAAACTAATGGAATTCAATTTCATTGTTTACCTAGGTGTTTTTTTATTACCATTACTTACCTAGGGTGAGAAATATTACTTCTCATTAAAGGAATTGAGTAAATAATGATAATTTCTCATGTTAGTAGTAAAAAAATCAGTTCATTTTTTTTAAAATCCTATTTGTTGTAAATTGGAGCCATTGAGATAGAATAAGGAGGAGATGCTATGACGACGCTAAAGTGTCCGAACTTTTGCATTACATTTTACGTCAATGTCAAACTCGAGTCGTTTTGGTGACAATAAATTCCATTTTTTTTTAAATAGTTACATTTAAATGATATAAAATCATTTTCATTTCGTCAGTCTTTAAATATAAACTTATTAAATTGAAATAAATCAAAGTACGACTCAAGTCGCCATTTTCATTACACTTTTCCGTCACTTGAAGTGCGTCCAACTGTCATATCGCATAAACACTATTTTATGTCGTCTCTACTTTATTCTATCTCGATGATTGGAGCAATATAAGAGAGTTTCCAAAAGTCAGGAAATTCATCTGTGCTTAGTTATTTGTTAAAAATATGAAAACGTGATCTAGATAATACAAAATTATATTTTTTAAGGTAAATGGGTGGAATTCCATTAGGGCTAGGCCCGAGTAGACAAAAGGATGAAATAGAAATAATAGATTTTCGTAAAAACTCATTTATTTTATATAGAATGTTTCACAAAAAATGTTTCTGAAGTAAGCATCGGAAAAATTCATTTGTCGCAGCGGACAACTCTTTTTTTTTTAAGTGTCAATGTGGATATAATTTAGAACCGTGCGTACGTAGTTATCACGGATATCAATCGTCTGTCTTTGTCAGTCATGGCTTACTTTAGAAACATTTATTGTGGATCATCCTTATATATTTAAAATATATAAATATAAACAACACAAAATGAATAATACAATATGAACAATACAAAATAAACAATAACAAATTAACAATACAAAATGAAAAATACAAAAAAATATATTTATTTTTGGAATTCAAAAATTTTAATTATTATCTAAATTCTTTAATACCAAAATAAGAAAAACTAAAATCTATTTAATTAGAATCGAGGCTGTAATTTAAAAATTGTTAGAATTGAAAAATGTTGCCAATAAAAATTGTGTTTTTTGAAAAACTATGAAACCAAAGCTGAAAAATGAATCGGTAAAGTAAGAAAGAATTTTGATTAGATATGTGTATCATTTTTTCAATTTTTGTTACACATGGGAGGCTTACATGTAATTTAAAAGTTAATAGATTCAAAAAATGTATCCAATAAAAATTGTTTATTGAAAATTTATGAAACTAAAACTGAAAAATGAATCGGTAAAATAAAAAAGAACTTTGATTAGTTATGTGTATCATTTTTTGCATTTTTTATTACATATGGAGCCCGCTACTTTGTTGCATTCTTCCATTGTTTTAAAATTATTCCTGGTGGCTCTACAACCTCCATAAATCACTTCTTCACATGCTTTCAATGTTTGATTCCAGTGGTATCGAATCAGATGTGCTTTGCATGTAGCTCCTGGTTCAGTGTGGGGAGCCAAGCAATCTGTAAGAAATTATGTTTTTTTTTTAATTTTTTTACTACTAAACTGAAATGTTATTTTACAAAGGTAAAGTTCCAATAGAGAAAAGTTTAGCAACGGTCACCTATTTTTCTACCATATATTATATAGTGTGAAGACCGAATTGAAGATCTGACTAGCGAACAGTGGCGCATCCAGAGTATAAGTCTGGCGGGGTTAGTGGTTATATTTAAGATTTTATTTTTGATAATACATTTTAGTACCTATAAAAAATTCTTGGGAGGGTTAATTACCCACCCTCCCGTATTTGCCCCACTGCTAGCGAACAATAAAGAATTCTCATTGCATTTGTATCAGTAAAATCATAAAACATAAAACCCAATATTTTCATAGATTTGAGGACAATCGCAGGCCTGTATTGATTAAGGCTTAAGATGGAATTTAGAATAATTCAAAAGTTTTTAAGTTGTTTAAGAGATGCCCATTAAAGTTATAGGCAATGTAGTTGTAGGTGAGTAAGAATGATAAAAACGCATGATATGGCATGTATGGGCATTCAAGTCCATACCATACCAAAAGATACAACATTCTGATAGATTATCTAGGACAGACTGCAATCAAAGGGCATCATCGTGGTTTTAACAAGCTTTGCTGTTACGGAAACATTAAATGATATAATTTATAAATAAGTTCAATAGTAAGGGTCCTAGATGTGACCCTTAAGGAACACCTGAGATTACTTGAAATAAGTTAGATTAGTGACAATTAATTAACTCTAACCATATGAGTTCTATTAGTACTCTACATGATTATTAATAAATAGACATAAGCAAATAATAGTTTCTGAACCGATTTTTTATTTTGTAATTTTGGTTTGGTAGCTATTGTAGATATTGGTAGCTTTAGTGTTATCAATAAAAAAAAAATTGGAAATAGTATTTTTTCCAACCTTCGTGATATGAAATTCAATGATCCACAATTATGAATTATGATAGCCTATAGTGAACACGAGAACCCTTTAATTTTAAACTATGGATCAATGACAAAATTACATGGACAATATTACCTGGACAATATTACATGGACAATATTACATGGACAATATTACATGGACAATATTACATGGACAATATTACATGGACAATATTACATGGACGTTAAAAACAAAAAAATTAAATATTACTTCTCCCCCCTCTTCTTCAACTTCTCCCTTCTCTTCCTCTTCCTCTGTCACGCCTAAAAGGTAAAACGATCTTCCGTAAAGTATCTCGGATATCTCATTACCACATCAGGTAAGATTGCCACGATTGCTTAACTGACTCCGCCACGAAATGTAAGACATGAGCAATCCTTCTTATAAACGTGTATCTGGTTCCGTCGGTTTTTGCCAAATTTCGCGCAGATATCCAAACCATTATCGGACTTGACCAATAAAAATGCTAAGTTCGCATGGGAAACTCCTCAAATTGAATCTTTTGATACCCATAAGCACTTATTTATTACAGCTTCTATTTTACGTCAAGCTGATCCAAACATTCGCACCGTTCTGAAGATAGATGACAGCGCTTACGAATTAGGAGCATGCCATCTTTAGAAAAGGGAAACGACGAACGACCAGTGGAGTACGCGAGTCGCCTAATGAACTCTGCGGAACGCAATTATAGCACGACAGAGTGAGGGCTCTCGCTGTAATATGTGCTATCGGTAAGTTAAGGGAATATATCCATAATTCCCCCATTATCGTAAAGACAGATTACCAACCATTGGGGTGTATGATGTCACTTCGTTCGCCTTCCGGACGATTAGCCAGATGAGTCCTAGAAATTCAAGGCTATGACTCGAATATATACCAGGGCGTACGAACCGTATAGCAGATATGCTAGCAAGTCCAACTTGCAGTCTCATAACAGAAAATATATGTGACATATCTTTAGTCAGTATAGTTTGCCCACTACAATCAACCGACTTCTATGCGAGGAACAGTTAAAGGATCCCGGCTCCGGTTAATAATAGAGACCTTAGAACCAACGGAACCCGAACCTATTTTTTTAGATTCACCGATAGAGGTTACCTGAAAAATGGAGGTGTCTTATATCGTCATAATGAAGATAGTGATACGGACGAACCACAGCTGGTAGTTCCTCAAACCAAGGTAAACTCTGTGTTACAAGAATGTCACGGTGCGCCCTTAACTGGTCATTATGGTATCGAGAATCAACTATTGGGGAAGCACCCCAAAACAGGCACATGGAAAAGCCTTCATAGGCAGACCATGTCCCAAAAGAACTGGAGAACTACTCTTAATGAATAGGAACCAGTTGAAAGTGATAACAGGGTTCATGAGTGGGCACGCCCCAGTAAAGGGACACTTGAACAAAATTGGCATGTACAATGGGGAACTCATGTGCCGACTATGTCACAAGAAACCAGAAACGGCCAAACACATACTGTGCGAATGCGAAGCTTTAGATCGCAAAAGGCAGGCTTTTTTTGGACGACCCCAGGTTGATCCAACAACGTATAGAACCCACTCACCCAAGGATCTGTACAAACTTGTACAAGGTACAAAGGTGATAGAGTGGGTGCTATGAACTAACATGGGGTAAAACACAATAAGCCAATAGGCTTCAATGTTATTCGGAGACACATAGTCAGACGAGCCCAGGAGAAGAGAAAAAAAATGGTATCGAGAAAACCATTCACTGAATCACTAATAGATATTATTGGCCTACAATTCGGCGAGATGTATCACAGCATATAAGAAAGTGTGTAAGCTGCCAAAAATATAAGCCCAGTAACCTGAAGCCCGCAGGATTAGTGAAAACTCCTATACCCAATCAATGTTTCGAGTGTTTGGAGATTGCTCTTGTTGGTCGTCTGTCCCCTACTGATAGTGAAAGCGGTTGGATTTTCGCTATAATAGATACGGCTTCAAAATGGATTGATCTATTTCCGTGGAAACAAGTGACTGCTGAAGAATGCGCCCGCATACTGATCAATGAAATCTGTTTTCACTACTTCCCCCAAAGTAATAAGCGATAACGGCGTCCAATTTGTTAGTAAAATCGTGCAACAGTTTACCTACTTCCTTGGTATAAATCAGTCACTTATTCCTGTATATAATCCTGCTTCCAATACAGAAGAACGCAAAAATCGAGACATAAAGGTCCAAATCTCGATCTTGGTGGAAAATGATTATATCAAGTGGGAAGAAACGCTACTGAATGTACATTTCGCTATGAACAGTGCTATGACTGCGGTTACCGGACATTTGCCGGCCTACTTGAACTTGGCTCGCGAACTATGGACACCAACTATAATAATAATACTCTCCCTAATTCATCCCTTACGAGTGAATTTAAACCCCAAAAGCTGAGCTAGTGCGGGGAAAGGGACGGAGATTATTATTATTTGCCATGGCGCTCCGGGCGACTTAAAGATGATTGATGGTGCCATTTGACTTACAGGTGAGGAAAACCCGGAAAACCCTCACCCACCATCATCAAGACGGTAATGGTTTTATAATCTGCATGTCATATCAACAGAAATTGAATTTCTATTAATACGGCACACATCAAATCCTATACCGAACCATGCAATTCAATTAAAAATCCACATGGTCTGGCGTAGGATCCGAAGCCCGTCTTTCTTTGGCCAGAAACTTGCCTATAAATAAATATAAGCGCGTCAGACCGCTACACCACCAAACTGATGTACATCAAGAGATATTTACGGTTGTGGAGAATAAATACTTTATCACCGAGATAGCACCTTTCCTGCACCTACATATAGACTGCCATCTCCTTGCCAAGGAGACTAACGAATATAAACAAGATTCGTCTAAACGATTTGCCGACAAACAATTAAGACAATCGAAATACTATCAAGCCGGTGGCAAAGTTTTAGTAGAGACGCATACGCTCAGTAAATCAAGTGCCGGTTTCACTAGTAAATTTATGCCGTGACGCGATGGTCCCTATATAGTGCTGGAGCAGAACTCTCCTACCTCATACGAGTTAACTGCCCTAGATCGTCCAACGATCTCTATTGGTGGATACTACGTATCAGCGTTGCAACCTTTCAACCAAGATAGGTCAGCCCGAGCCATTACCTCTGTTGTCTATAAGAAAGAGAGGTCGTCCTCCCAAAACGACGTCAGAGTGCCAAAGAGATGATTCTGCTTCTAGTGGTACTCATTTATCCGATTCTGAAATCTCCATCCCAGCTGAGCAGATGACCTGTCGCTCTGTAAAGCTACAGCGACAAAGACGTCCAGCAGCGCGTTATGAAGATGACAGCTAGTGTATTCCGCATTTAGAATACTGTTTCTCTTGTATCCATCCTCGAGACGAGGATTGATCCAAAGGATATAACGCTATACCATTTGATACTGGATACGGCTCTGGCGAAATATCATCTAGCCAAGTAATCGTGTTTCGTGTTACCTCGGCTCCTCGGCCGAAGACAATAGTAGTTGATGTAAACAACCCAAACAACCGCTTTCACTTTAGTCCGGCAGCTGATATAGGAATTCGTTGTTGTGGATTTATTAGTCAAAAATTGTATTCAGCGAAATTTAAAGTTTGAGACAACTCGATGAATAAATAAGAAGGTCCATGAGTAATAATTTCTATTGTTATCAAAAATCAAAACCCTGTGCACCTACCAACTTTCAAGTCTCTAGCTCATCCGGACGTAGGTAAAAAAATTGAAATTTATCAATAGTGATATATATTTTTATATTTATTACATAAGTTAAATACTCATAAATATAAAACTGACTAATGACCAAACCTTTATTATAAATGTAAACTACAAAAGAGTTTTACTTCAAATTACGTCGAGCAGTGTAAACATCACATTCAAGACCAGTTCATAATTCGAGCAGTGTTTTAGTGTGTCGTTCCGTCAATAACGTCAAAAGAGAGAGAAAGAAAATTTGCACCATCCAAGATCAAAGGCATCGACGCTTTATGTCACTACTCAACGGTTAATATACTTTGATATTTCTTTGAATATGTAACAGTTAATTTGTGCTTGAATAAAATTAATTTTTTCTTCGTTTTTAACACTGTTTAAAATCATAGAACTAACTCCACCCCCGTTAAAAAGTGGAAAATTTGTGAGGGGTCTAGTTTCAAAGTGTCCAATTTTCAATTCTGAAGAAATTCTGATAAAGTTAGTTTTTTATATAATTTTCCCGCTAAATTTAAATATAGCATCAGTTTATAGCAAAACATATAATAACCTAGCCTACAATCTCAACTGAGCAAAGCTTATAATAAAACGACTAAAGTATATGACATGGTGGCAAAGTGTACAATCTTCATATACTTATGTTACTTTCAAAGTCTACAAATTCCAAATCAAAATATAGAGTAATTGGCAAAACTACATAACGGATAGTATAGTTCAGATAAGCAATAAAAACTCAAAAGAGGATCTTTTGTTTTATTTACCTTTATCTGTACAATGTGCTTACTTGAAGCTGGTACACTTTGAAACTAGACCCTTCATGTGTTTCAGTGAATTAGAAAGGAGTTTATACAGTGAGAATCTTAAGTCTTACCCCCCTAACTAACTCGTTACTGGAGTCTTGTTAGGAAAATCGCCGAGACAGGTCGATTTTTGTTTTCTACAATGTACATTTTTGTATGATAAGTTCACTCTGAAAGGGGGTTTTATTCTCTATTCAACCGTGCAAAAATTTTTTAAATTTGCTTCATTACGTGTTGATTTATTAATGTTTAAAAATAACAAAATCTCACAAAATAGGAAAGCAACTAAACTAATAGTGACCTTCTAATGGCAAAAAGTCTTACTTCACGTCTGAACCAAAACTGAAATCATGCAGGGCCGAATTTTAATTCTAAGGATGAGTGTGCTACGTTAATCTCCGTTATTCTAAAACAAAAATTAGTCGAGAATTAATAAAGCAAATTTTAAAATTTTTTACATGGTTGAATAGAGAATAAAACCCTCTTTCAAATGAGCTATCACTCACCACCCCATGCTATTTAAATTTTTCGAAAGGGTTGCTCCCCTCGAGTAAGGGATGAAATTAAGGGTAAACTAATCATACAAAAATATACATTGTAGAAAACAAAAAGCGACCTGTCTTGGCGATTTTCCTGACAAGACTCCAGTAACGAGTTAGTTAGGGGGGGGACTTAAGATTCTCACTGTATAAATCAGAAGAAAAATGTGACAACACTATTATTGTAAATAGCATCGACAATTTTGAGGAAAAAGTGGTAAAACAAGTAGGATCACCAAAGTGCTTTGGTAAGTTTTGATAAATTATTATGTATCTTAAGTACCTCTTAAAAGTAGGTAGGTAGATAATAGCAATGCTTGTATTTTTGTAGCTGCCATCCTCTTATACAAAATAGGTCTTAGTACACGAGAACTTTCTTTTTTTTGTATAAAAAAAGGTATCTAACGAAATGTAATCTTTTTCCTTTAATCCACGGCCTTATTCTCAATGTTCGTTATTTGTTTTTTTTTTAAGATTTTTTGAGCCTCATTTTTAGGGTTAGGTTGAAAAAACAATAATTTTCAATTTTTTTTTCGAAAATGTGTTAAAAAAAAGTAAGGCAAACGAACGTATACAATATTGAAATCATGCTTTACATTAAGCGCCACGGCGCCGCCGGTCACTAGATACCGCTACCAAACTATCCTACAAGTTCTTGGTGGTCACCAGAGACTATCTATTTGAACATTTATCAAAGTTATTTCTCGTCAAAATTATAAAGCGATCGTAAGTGACCGTCAAGAATTTTTTGGTTTTTACCACATCTGTCACCAACGACCGCTGAGATCTAGTAGACATATTAACCAAAAACGTATTTGAGTTGGAAGGACAAACTGTGAAAATCCCTTGGCACTCAACATGCAAAAGAGTTTTTATTTGATACCACACCACACGATGGAATCGAATTTTTTTTTTAACAGTCTCTGAGTAAAACAGACGGGGGTGATTACCAAATATGGGACGGAACACTAAAAATGGAAGGGAAAATTTGAATTTGATACGAAATATCCTTACCCTTTTTCTTAAATTCACTTTGAATTTGACAATACACTTGGACAATTATCAATAAAACCCCTAAGGCAAAATAATTAAACACATACATTTTATTTTGTTTTATTATAAATCGATTAGCTACACTACATTTTAAACGTGTTGTTATATGATTATATACCTTTAAAATCTGAATAATTTAGGCACCATTTCTGCATATCAGTTCGAAAACACTACATATTATTTATGCTTTTTATGCTAAAATGGAACTCATTTGAAAACATCGGTAATAATTTATTAAAATTAGCCTTTTGTAAATCATTAAAGAGATTAGATTAGTTTACCAATACATTTTTTAAATTAAAAATAAAGGATAACCCACTATCCTTAATTGCATCCACTAAGGATATAATTTATGCAACCTAAGGAAATGGTTCGTTTTGTTTTATGAATTTAATTTTTGTAAAGAGTATAGAGTGGTCATGTAAAATAATAGATACGAAATAATGAAAACTATTTTGGAACACCCGTGAAAATGTTGGATATCAGGTGCAACAATGTCGTAAGAACAAAAATGTATTGTATTGTATCGTATCGTATCGTATCGTATCGTATCGTATCGTATCGTATCGTATCGTATCGTATCGTATCGTATCGTATCGTATCGTATCGTATCGTATCGTATCGTATCGTATCGTATCGTATCGTATCGTATCGTATCGTATCGTATCGTATCGTATCGTATCGTATCGTATCGTATCGTATCGTATCGTATCGTATCGTATCGTATCGTATCGTATCGTATCGTATCGTATCGTATCGTATCGTATCGTATCGTATCGTATCGTATCGTATCGTATCGTATCGTATCGTATCGTATCGTATCGTATCGTATCGTATCGTATCGTATCGTATCGTATCGTATCGTATCGTATCGTATCGTATCGTATCGTATCGTATCGTATCGTATCGTATCGTATCGTATCGTATCGTATCGTATCGTATCGTATCGTATCGTATCGTATCGTATCGTATCGTATCGTATCGTATCGTATCGTATCGTATCGTATCGTATCGTATCGTATCGTATCGTATCGTATCGTATCGTATCGTATCGTATCGTATCGTATCGTATCGTATCGTATCGTATCGTATCGTATCGTATCGTATCGTATCGTATCGTATCGTATCGTATCGTATCGTATCGTATCGTATCGTATCGTATCGTATCGTATCGTATCGTATCGTATCGTATCGTATCGTATCGTATCGTATCGTATCGTATCGTATCGTATCGTATCGTATCGTATCGTATCGTATCGTATCGTATCGTATCGTATCGTATCGTATCGTATCGTATCGTATCGTATCGTATCGTATCGTATCGTATCGTATCGTATCGTATCGTATCGTATCGTATCGTATCGTATCGTATCGTATCGTATCGTATCGTATCGTATCGTATCGTATCGTATCGTATCGTATCGTATCGTATCGTATCGTATCGTATCGTATCGTATCGTATCGTATCGTATCGTATCGTATCGTATCGTATCGTATCGTATCGTATCGTATCGTATCGTATCGTATCGTATCGTATCGTATCGTATCGTATCGTATCGTATCGTATCGTATCGTATCGTATCGTATCGTATCGTATCGTATCGTATCGTATCGTATCGTATCGTATCGTATCGTATCGTATCGTATCGTATCGTATCGTATCGTATCGTATCGTATCGTATCGTATCGTATCGTATCGTATCGTATCGTATCGTATCGTATCGTATCGTATCGTATCGTATCGTATCGTATCGTATCGTATCGTATCGTATCGTATCGTATCGTATCGTATCGTATCGTATCGTATCGTATCGTATCGTATCGTATCGTATCGTATCGTATCGTATCGTATCGTATTGTATTGTATATCAAGTCGAGCTGAAACGAGGTTTTAGTTTTGTTATCCAAAGCCAGATTTACAAATAATTGAAAGAGTTTATATTTTTTCAATTTTTCCAATAAAAAAATAGAAAATAGAAGTTCCGGAAGTGGCAGGTAAGATTCATATCTACACCGACGGTTCTAAAACAAAACAAGGCTCAGGATGTGGAATATACTGCAAATCCTTAAACCTAAACATAAAATGGGATGTGAGAAATAGTGCCAGTGTAGTTTAAACAGAGCTCACGGGAATTCTCACATCAGCAACAAATATCACCAGAAACAATATCACTGGGAGGAACATGCTCAACTATACAGATAGCAGACAAGCACTACTCACAATGAACTGACCACGAGTTTTCTCGGGGTTAGTACTAGAATGTCACGAAGCTTTGGCTGATGTATACTTCCTTCAGCAATGTGAAAACTTTAAAATAGATCAAAGATCGCGCCACATCAAAAGGTAAAACCGTCTTGCTGATTCACTAGCTAAGAAAGCAGCCAACCAAATACTTTTTGGACTTGATTCTTCTATTGGCCAGACATAATCGGTAGTAACAGACCTAATTAAAGAACATTCTCTTGTGAAATTCAAGGAAAGATGAGATTAAACAAGAAACTACAGAGTTACCAGGGAGCTTCTAAGTTATCCAAACAAATACTTGACTATGAGTAATCAGAATCAGCGCTTGGTCACAGGCATTCTGACTGGTTATTGCCAAGTACGAAAGCATCTCCACATCATGGGGTTGTCAGAATCGGCACTCTACAGGAGGTGCGAACAAGAAGATGATCGAACATATTATCCTCTACGGTTGCCCGGCGCTCTCATTTATTAGAAGATTTGTGTTCACCGAGTCTCGACTAACACCGGCTAATATACGAGAAGAACATTGTCAACTACATCTGTAGACTGGCTCACAAGCTAAGATGATAGGCTCCTCGCCTATCATCTTAGGAGTATGCACAATGGACCTAGTGAGGTCTAAGTGCCGTGGGGTAACTCACCTTAAATTTACTACTGTAATTTGATTATTTTGCATAAAATGGATTTTTCATTAATATCGTTTTTTTTTTTCTTACCTTATTTATTATAGCTTTGTGTAGAAATGTAAAACTTTTTTTTGTTTATTTTTTAAATATTAATTAGTATTGAGTATATCAGCTTGGTAAACAAGCTTAATGACAGTAAGATACTGTTTGTACAAATTAATTACCATTTTTTTTTGCAAATAAAACAACAAATTTAATTATCAAATACCGAGTCTTCCATTAAGAAAGGTCGCCGGCTATACTTCGGAAACTAATAATACAACTATGGGGATATCATATTTTTAATAAAAACTGTCAAGAGTATTTATTTTTAAGTTAATCTTCAATTTTTCTGGACAAAAAAACTTCAGGTTTAATTTTTGCTTTATCGAATTTAGTGAACTTGGTTTCGTTTAGAAGAGCTTTTTCAGCCTCATTTTTAGCTGTATGGACAGTGACTGCTTACATTTTACGATCGCCGCTAGAGGGTGTTAAGTTAAAAACTGACATATTTTACGAAAATTTTCAAAAAATTTAAATACAACTCTATATACTTTCTTACATAGAGAAAAAAAGCAAACACCGCATTTAGATCTCTTTTCAAATCTCAGATTTTAGCAAAAACATAAATAAAACGTAGTAAATTTTTACATTTCTGCAAAATCTAATGCCCAACCAAAGTATATTATTCAATTGAGTGTGTAGATTTGCATATCAAGACAGCTTTGAAAAACACTAACAAAAGACCTAATACTCAATGCCTTTCCAAATGTTTAAACTGTCTTCCATTATTTTGAAAAAATAGTTACAACCAACTGTTTGCTCTAAATATGCTACGAATAGCCTCTGCGATTCGTTGAATCATAATTTCCCTTGTCGTAAGGCTCGTTAACGAGGTCTACGCCAAAGTTAGAAATTGAGACAGGTTAGATCCGGTGACCTGCAATAAAAACGAGGGGAGAATAATTTTATCTAATTAGAATTGAAAATAGTATTGATGCGATCATCAAAAAGTTTACCACTGGTCTTTTACTGTAAACAAAAACAATAGGTAGGTACCTCAGCTGGGCCACGGAAATAAGCTACCTATTCCAATTTAGCTATCAAGAAATGCGTGATCAAGAAATGCGTGATCAAGAAATGTGTGATCAAGAAATGCGTGATCAAGAAATGCGTGATCAAGAAATGCGTGATCAAGAAATCTACGGACGTTTGCTGCGAAATGAGCTGGACAGCCATCATGTTGAAAATACATTATTCTTCTGGTTGACAACGGCACATTTTGTAAAAGAAGTGGTGATTGGTAAAAAATTGAAATATATTTGCCCTCTAATGGGCTCATCCCAAATAAAAGAACCAACCTATGATTGCACTACCTAAAATGCCGATTTGCTAAACAAGTAAACATTCTGCTGCCGTACCGGTATGTTTAAAGATATCTCAGCTCGTACAGCCTTGCAGCTATAGTCGCATTTTGCAGGCACTCAAAATAAATGGTGATAATATCTTCAAGCAACAAAGACATTTTTAAAAAACACAATACAGTAATACAGCGAATACGACAAAATAATTTCTGACGTGAAAATTGTTGAATTTTTGACATGAGATTTTTTTGTTTTTAAAATTTCCTTGATGTAAAAATCTACGCGCTCAATGGATTATTATACTTATAAGTAATTATGTATTCTTCCCTAATATCGTTCGATTATTTAAAATAGGTAAAAATCATGGTTGGGCATTAGATTCTGCAGAAATTTATAAATTTGATTTATACCTTAAAAAATCTACCTAATAGAAAATACTGGGTCATTAAACGTGTTAAGTCTCTACGTTTTATTTATATTTTTGTTAAAATCTGCAGTTTGAAATGAGATATATCCAAATGCGGTTTTCGCCAAAGTATTAGGTTTTTTTCTATCTAAATATGTAAATAAGTATATATCGTATTATTTAAATTTTTCCAAAATGTTCGTCGAAGATGTCAGTTTTTAACTTAACGCCCTCTAGCAGCGTTCGCAAAACGAAAGTAGCCACAGTTTATACAGCTAAAAGTGAGACTGAAAAAGTTCTTCTAAACGAAACCAATTTCACTAAATTCACTAGGTAAAAGCCAAACCGGAGTTATGGGCATTATTT